CAAGATTATAGGACATAAATAGATTTACAAGTCTTGTACATGAATTGGAGTTTCCTAATAAATCAACGTTAAAATCACCCCCAATCACTAATCGTTTGCCTTTGCTATATACCTTTTTTAATGCTTCATCCATAACAGTTTCAAAGAGATCATAATGAGAAACTAAACTTGAAGGAGGTCTATATACGCTCAGTACAATCAGCTGGTCCAGCTCTATACAGGCAATCTCTATTATTTCCTCAACCGATAGGCTCACTATATCTCTACGTTCTTTAAATTTAAACTTTTTATTTAATAAAATTAGTGCGCCACCACGCATTGCGTTTTTCCTAATGAACGCGCTACCAACAAGGTGATTATTGAAGTTAAAAATGCAATTATAACTTGTTAACCAATGTTCCGTAATACAGAAAAAATCAACATTGTTACAGTTCATGAATAATTCCACTTCTAACTCTTTACTCAACATTCCTTGAACATTTTGGTGCACTAGGTTGATGACTGAAAAACTCTTGGTTCCATTATTACTTTGACTATTCAATAGCAAGCAAGAGGAATCCTCTGTTGTCTTAGTATCTAATTTAAAGACGAATTTGTCGCAATGTCAGTAGGATTATTACTGACAGTCATGTCAATAGAAGAGTGCTCAATAGGAGCACTCTGGTTAGCCAAATTTTTGGCTGTTATAGAAAAAAAATATGATAGCGAAATAGCTATTTGTCTCTTATAATAATTGGAAAGATAATATTTATCTTTAGTCAAATAAAATTTTCTAACATACTTGTTAGTGTCAATGACATGAAACTTTGCAGTATTGCATATAGTGTGCAATGTCATATTCAATTTGTATCGCAAATTATTTTCTTCATTGGACAAACTATTGCAATACGGCAACGTAAAAATCACGACTTTCCCAACACTTAATGAATTTAATTCGTTTATATAATTCAATAATTTATGTTTGTTCAAAGTACCTCTATTGCCAATAAAAAACAATAAAGTGGTATTTTCGCTGTAGTTTTGTTTGATTGCTTTTTCCAAAATATCACTAAAAGAGGAATTAGGCATACAGAAGTTTAATGTTGAATGGCCCTTATCGAATAGCAAACGGCCCATGTTTCTGCCAATTTCATCACTGAACATTAAAATTTTATTTTTGTAATTTTGTGAATTTATTCTGTGACGTTGGGAAAATTGTGATGGGGAGCAGTCATCAGTAACAGATGACTGAACAGGTACCTGAGTAAACGGTTGTGACTGGTGGGCAGATGACTGACAGGGTTTCTGTGTAACTGTATTTATAAATTGTTTCTGAATATTATTATTGTTATTGTTACTAAAGCTGTTATTTGTTTTGTTAATTAATTGTTTATTATTTAACAGTGAATGGTAACGGTCAGCATTGTAATTGCATAGGTTAACCAACTCTGTGGCAGACCTAATATGCTCATCAATCTGAGACTGTGCAACTAAATATTTATTTTGTATTAATTCTATTGATTCATGTAATTTTTTTATTTCAAATTGAAATTTTTTTGTATCCCGGTCATACATCTGCCGACTTTCACATAATTTATCACTATATATTTCCAAAGAATCCATCAGACTACTGCGTTGTTTCCTCAAGGCAATATTTTTATAAAAACAATTATTTTTCTTTATCAATCTCTCAGTTTTCTGGATAACTTTTCCAATTTTAATATATTTCTTAAGTTTCCTAGTACTTAAATTAAAATTGATCTGACTCTTAGAGTGTATATCACAGGCTGTTAGTTGATGCCTCATCGACTGACCTCCAGGTGATGCTACCAGTTCTTCAAAAAGACTTTGGGTGTATTCTGCTTCATGTTCTTTTTGTTGTTCGAGCAGTAGTTCTATTTTATTATTGGCCAAGTTGAGCTCCTGTTCCAGTTCTGTGATGCGGTTGAGTACCCTCTCATGAGTATTTAATTCTTCTTTGAGAGTACTGAGTGCATCCTTAAAATGGTCCCTTTGATGCATTACTTCTATATGCTCAGTATGCAGTTCACCAAGCTCACTCTTCAGTTGTGAGTTCCGACCAATAATACGTTTGATTTCTTCTTCACTTTCATCTCGTTCCTGTAGTAACTGGTTACATGTGTCCTTTGAATCCTTTAGCTCCTGTAGTGCTTGCCTTAACTGCATTTCTGTATTTTGTGCAGCAGCCTTACGGGTCAACATATTGAATCAAATTTCCTAAAAAAATAGAAACAAAGCAGAATCAATGCGAGAATTGGAAAGTTAATAAGTTTCAAAATATACTATTTTATCCTATTTAAGCACCTAAATAATCAGTAAAGATGAAATATTGATTTTAAATATAATAATATTCAATAGGTGGGTAGAAGAATAATAAAATATCCTAATTATTTTTGTTCAATAAGAGTTTATAAGAAAAGGTATCACTTTATAACCAATCATCAATTATAATGATAATAATAACTAATCAATAATCTTAAATAATTTATTATAATGTGCACCCCCTCACATACAATTACTTTTTCATTTTTAATTTAAGCTACATTTATTTCTACAATATTAACATCTACAGCAGTGTCTTGTCCATACACTAGAGTCAAAGAGATGTAACATAATATAATCTTGGTTCTTTTATTAATCTGAATCATACACAATAAGTGATTTCTTTATCAATTATTTTTTATTAAAAGTTAATGCAATAATAATATACCTAATGGACATTAAGCTTTATATATGAAACAATTAATGCAGAAAATAAGTTTCTCAGCTGTGTTAATGTTATTGTTTATTTGTACAAGAGTAATGTTTGTAAAGAGTAGCAATAATGAATGTCTGTGGCAACTCGGTCACCATCAACTTTACTTCCACTTCATGTCAAGTAAAGAGAGGTTAACAGTACCAAATTGTTATGTTTTGTGACGTTACTCACTATTCGTGAGTTTTGATAAGAGTAATGATTTGAAAATTAAGGTATCGAGAAACCAAAATGCCACACATAAAACTCATACAAGGAAATATAATGAAGTATCAGCAGTATATTTTTTTACTAAATTATGGAACAAAAGTACTTCCCCGGTTTGTGATGCAGCAGTCCACAATTGTATCTTTTCTTGATAGATTTTTGTTTGTTTTTCGTCTTTATCTTCTCCGACAGATAGACGTTACATATTTGTCTGGCACGATTATTTGAATGTAAGCGATTATATTTACATGGTAAGATCAATTATCAACACTTTAGGCTTTGTTTTCACTTTCACAAAACTAATATTAATAAATATCGCGATATATTTAATTTAAATTAAATTTTAAATAAAATTAAATCAGCTGTAACGATTTGACAACCGTACACGCCAGTGTTGCCACACCGATCCAAAAGAGAGAAATAATTTCTTTCTTCAATAAAATCGAAACACAATAACCAGATACACCAACATTTTTTTAGGGCGGTGCCCGCCGTGTATATAGTTAGAAGTAAAACAGCACTATCAGAAAAACTATTTTCTCTTACCATACATAATATATTTCTTTTAAATATCTGGCACAAACAAACTGTTGGTGTATCCACTTTTTGTTAACACTATTCCAATGAAATTACATGCATACACCTCGAATTGATAACCTTCTTTTTTTTAAGTCAAACGACTTAAAAAAAGAAGGTTATCAATTCAATTAAAATGAGAAACGAAAACCTGTTTAAGATGGTTTAAGTACGGTTTAAAATGAGCTTAACTTTATATTTTCAATCGGTTGCTTATGAACTAAACTTAGGTACCTATTATCTATATTATGATAACACTATGTAACGCATTGTGACTAGAATCTGAGAGATCCTACTTTTAAATTTTTCTTCATAAACGATGTATTTATAGTAGACACTATAAATTATATAAATTAATTGTCATTGCGCAATTTATTTTGTAAATATTCGCTAAGCAATTTACTTTGACCGCAGTAAACTTATTGGTAAAGAAATATAACCCTAATATGTCTCATTATAACGAAACATTAATTTTTATTTAACTGATGACAGTTTATATTGGAATATATACATACTCCGCGACGTTTACTAACAAACCACTTTAGTACAGTGTGCTTACGTTTGTCACAGATATTGTCTATTCGGTAGTTCTTGATAGTAGGCATAAATAACGTTTCCAATTCAAAAGACTTAAAAGATAGTTAATCCCCACTCAATTCAAAATAAAATCATTTATACAACAACTCCCACAAATCTATACGTGCATTAATATCTCATTACTCGGGAGACTATTTTCAAAGACAAGATAGCAAGTAAGTATCAAAGACCGAAAAGTTTATTTGCTGTCTAAATTTTTAACAGGAATATATAGAAGCTCAGATGAAACGAATTCCCAGTATACCAGTGCTGCTACAATATCGAAAGTTTCTTTTTCTACTTTTAAAATGGTCACACATTCATGAGGATATTATCGATAATAGTATCAATCAGAGGAAATGATAGTGATAATATAACTATCTACGTTTACATGACACATGTATATGAAAGATCTAAATAATTTGTCTATGGTAAAATTATAAATAGGAAAATTTTAATTTTATAATGAGATATATAATGCGGTGAGACTGCAAATAAAACTTCACGACCTTTATAATCGTAACCCAGTTACAATAGGTAGGTGACAAGGCGATATAATTTAACCGAAACTATTCACAGCATGCTTAGAAAATAACGTTAAAACTTCCCGACTGGGATCATAGGAAAACTAGAATGAAGTCGTAGATTTACTTGTTTATATAATTAATCTATAAATGGGGGGGTGCATTCAGCAAACTGTACCAAATGTTCGAGATTAAAATGAAAAACAAGTTTTTTAAGCAATACGTCTTATCTGTTTTCATGTATGGAGACATACATGCATATATGGACGCGGAGTCTAGCGGAAAATGGAACGATCCTTGGGATTATATTACAAGGACTAATCCATAACACTAAAATAGACAGACGTACGTATGTATGTACGATGTGTCTCGTATTGTTGCATGTCAGAAGTAGCGATGCCGGGGAAAATTACCTGCAGAACAGACAACAGGTGGAACTACAAGATTCTGGTATGGCAGTAGTTGCCGAGAATAGAAAAGAAAATTGCTAACCGAAAACCAAACCGTATAAATCCGATAATCAAATAGATACGTCAAAATACTATCGACAATATCTATATTACTAGTTCGCCATTTTTTAATAGAAACTGAATAAGGTATTTTTGCGTTATTACATCCAAAATGTTTTTAGCTCTTTATTTATAAAGATACCTGCCTAGTAACATTGGATTATAAAGTTTTTAAAGCATTCCCTCCGATATTCGAGGTAATTAAAACAGGTATAGGCAGCCGTATCTAATTTATTTTAAGCAAGTTAACAATAATACATTGAAACTCGCCACAGAAACAACATCGAGCCTTAATTTCCTGTTATTTACCGGGCGCACAAACTTCCCATCTTTTCTGCTACGATTGTAATTGTTTGCTTCAAATGTAGCATTTATTTTTCCCTGTTATTTTACTAACTTAACTAAAACGATAGATATTTTATTTATACGGTTTTTTACCTCTAAAGTATTCTTTTCGTGAACGCTCCTATTCTCAAAACTTTGGAATTTTCTCTTATTAACCCTTCTGAACGTTTTTTTTAAATAACTAAGGTATCGTCTTAATTCATAATATCTATAATATACTATAATATTATATTAATAACAGTTGGAATTTTACTATTATATTTATCTAAATGTAATATTTGAGTTAAAGGCAGAATTGTTTGTCAATTTCAATATTTCCTCTCGTTTGTAAAATATCTGCTCCCTACTCACTAAACCTTGTTTGACACAGGCTGATCCGTGTCTTGGATAGTCTTGGACGTGGTTATTTATTACCTAGTTAGATTTAAAAATAAATAATAATAAAGCATTCCTCCAGGGCCTTTATTTATTCTCATTATTAATGTCACTCAATTCTGACAAAGACCTGGAAAAAATATATTTTCTTATCAATTCCGTCAAAAGGAATTTGTTTCTTACATCTAATAATAAAATAACAATTTATGTTTGTTTGCTATTTTTACCTGTCAAATGTTATAAAGTACTTTCGGTTTAGTTCATCTTTAGTTTTTCTAACTTGTCAATTTAATTGGGGCATTACAAAAATTTAAAAGAATTAACCAAGTTTCTTCTGTTACTTTTTATTTATAAACTTATTTCTACAAATTATTGCTATAACATTTGTATTGCATTTGCCCACCCTAGAGTTAAGAAATCTAATGTTAACCTATCTTTATGTCTGTATCTAGCAACTTGCACACTAGTCAGTATCTGTTGTACATCACTAATATACAAGTACATGGTTAGTTCGTCCACGGAGCTTTATCATAGACATAAAAAGTTTGGTTATGCAGATCCTTTTTTTGACCAAAGGGAACTGGCCTTAATAATTCATCAACTTGGACGAGATGCCGACTAGTCCGGGGCTCTCCAACTCCAAGGGATGGCGGTCCAGTGCAGTTGGCTTACCCGTTAAAAGTTCAAAACCCGTTTCAAACGAAACCCTGGTATCTGACATGGAATGCTAGAACAATCTGTACCGGGATATGCATATCCTAGGAACAAGATTCACGTGCTGAATTTAAGCAAAGTGAACAGTGTCGGTGATATCTGGTGCCCTGTACTTCTGAAATCGACATTAGATATATCGTGAACTGTTACATCGTCTGCCCTTATGTTACTTACGCATTTTTAATGTTAACAATAGGACAGAGCACGATGAAGTTTACAACATATTGAATATTAGTTTTCAGAAGTTAACCCTTAGCTTTTCTCTTCTTAGTCGCATACTTCATTACTGAAAGTCGTGCCCGTCTTGAAAGTCATCTGCCTGTCGGAGTACTTCGGTTATAGTGAGTCGCGATGTGTGACCAACTATGTGACCAAAAGTAGCTAATAATAGATAACAGATGGTAGATAGTCTGATTTTAATCTTTAGCTGGTCGAGAATCAATTTATTTGTTTTTTGTCAAACAGAAGCATCCTACGCAAGCACCACATTTCGAAGCCGTCGATCTTTTCACGGTCTAAACTACTAATTGTCTAAGATTCAGATGTGTACAAGAAGATTGGGTATATCGGTTTCCGTACCAATCTCATTTTAGTAATAATAATAATAATTCTTTATTTTCACAAAGAGATAAGTCTCATTTTAGTAGTATTGGAGACGTTTCTTTTTTGTCATATCCTCATCATTTTGCTCATAGCATTTTTTTACCATATGTATCCGGCGACGAATCTCCCTATCACAACCACCTCTGTCACTAACTATGGATCCCAGTTAGACGAACTCACTGACATATTCTATATCGGGTATAATTATGATTCGCAGGAGCTGGCCTGCTCTCTCACCAACCTCTAGTCTAAGTAAGAGTAAGACTCTCGAATTCCACCCTATGAAGGAACTCTTTTAGTTCGTTCTCTGTTGCCGCAAATAATGTGGTGTCGTCTGCGTATCTGAGGTTGGAGATTTGATTTTTACCACCTATTCAGAATCCACTGTTCCATTTATCTAGAGCTCTTCTCGTGATATTTTCGCCGCATTTGTTGAATAGGAAAGGAGAAAATATACACCCCTGCTGCACACTTTTATCTGGTTTAACAGGTCCTGAGATCACATCATTGATCCTGATATTTGACTCACCATCTTCGTACAGTCTATCTATAAAGACCGTAAAATGCGAAGGGACACCCATTTCCCGCAAAATACACCACAAGCAGTCAGACTGTTTACTGTAATATTATAGAATTGGTTTCCAATATTTCTTAATTGGCTATTTTATACTATTCCTGCGTATGTCACAGAAATATTTCTCATGTTTGGGACATAGGTAACGGTATTACCATCATTTCTAAAACAAGCACATTTCAATCTTCTTGAAAGCTCATAACGATATAACGTCCATCACGACAACAATGCATTATTCATGGACTATTACAGCGAGATAAACTGCCGAAACAACGTTTTTGCATTACCGAGAAACAGGTTAAATTTAATAAGTAATCTTTTATCAAACATAAATGCATTGACTTGTATCCAAAAAGGAATATTAAAATTGTTTATTATAATAAATTGGGCTCATATTATGATTTCAAGCCAATAAAAAATATTCTATGATAAATTTCATGTAAAGGTATAACCACAGGACAACGAAAAAAGGTATAACGTTATGTAATCCTTCTTTCATATTATTAAGTTGTTTTCATTGTTCAGTTTACTTGATCATTTATTTCTTTTTCATGTCATCCGAATGGTCTAATGAAAACAATGACAAATGAAGAAATGGTATTAAAATGACGCCAATCATTTATTTACCCAAATATTGTGTATACAGGGTAAATTATAATATATGTCAAAGTAAATTTGGTAATATAGTAAGCTTATATTCTTACAAGGCCTAGTACAATCTAATCTATCTAAATCTACGATAGTTACATCAGACATTATAAAGCTGTTTTACCTTGACATTAGATATTATATACAATTATATTGTGTACCTCTTCAGTTGTTAAATAAGTATCATGTGTCAATAATATTTCAACAAACTAACGAAAATTGATTAGAACCTGTATGAATATTTATTTATACCTATAAAAATGAATCCCTTGGTCATGCCATCACAATTGACGTGGCTGGACCGATTTCGCTAATTCTTTTTTTGTTGTTTTTTATTGTAAGGAGAAAGTTCTTATGAAAAAAATTAAGAAAATTGTGTGGAACATTTGAAAATTTAAGAATATATAACTAGCCCATAAAATTATTTGTAATCTAAGCTTAATGCTTAATGCTATTAAAAAGTTTAGATGGGTTATCTTTAGATGAGTTTAGATGGGCACTACAACGACTACTACCTGAGTTACACTTTAGTCATGTTTCAGTAAGCTTTGTGGCTAATATCATTTACACATATAATTTTCTGTAAAAGTTGTAAAAAAATGCCTTCCATCGTGTTTAAACAATGCACAAACTACCATTGACATTGAGAAAAACAAAAAAGATATATTTCATGCGTTTTTTCGTGCATCGTATTTTATGAGGATGCAGCAGTTGACACGTAAAGCTATACCCATATATTTATCTCGTTCTAACAAAAGGTATGCTGAAGATTCTGATAGGGAGATACAATGATATTACAATTAATATCATTGGGGAGATATTTTTTTTTATTTCTTCGCGCCTTTGCGGTTATATAATAATGTTACGCTACCATAATAATGTTTACGCTGTTTTAAAACTCATTAATGTAATGTGTGTCTAATAATAAAATGTCATTGCATGAAGAGATATTTTTTATAACTGAACTACTTGCTTCCAATAAATGATACGAGGAGGTGGAAGCTTTTAACTTCTTTTTAATGTAATGAGAGTGCGGAATTTATTTGTAGCATTTTGTTTATTATTTTAGATAGATGAGTCAAGTATTCAATTAAAACTGTAATCCAGTATTTTAATTTTAAAGTATTTAACCACGGGTTAAGATAATCAGGCAAAATTACAAGGAGAATCTATATTCAAAACATTAATTATTTTTAAGCTTCTAGCTTAAGTCTGATGATTAAGCCAACAATTTAAGAGAAACGTTCTTAATAAGACCGTTGAACTAAATCGAGCCGTTCTTATTGTTAAATGGTAAACAGGAGATTGTATGTTTCGATTTAACGTAGGAGAAATTACCACGAAACTTCATTAGTGTTTAATAATAGCCTGAACAATCGTACGTTTCGCTTACGGGGGTCACACTGAAAGCAGTAAAAATAATCGGTTAAGGTGACATTTGACGTTAGGACATTAGGACGTGGAAACGTCCTTCAGTTTCTTTTTTATTTGACATTTTCAATGTGACCCACGTAGTTATACTATTTTATTTTATGAAGGCATGTTTGAAAACATTTTTACAAAAACATTAAAACTTTTTTATCAAAGTCACAAATGTAGTATGTAGTTAGCATTGATTCTGATGCATGGACAAAATACAAAGAAACAAAATCGTCAAGGTTTCAAGGTGTCATCATCTCTGAGGTCTCGGGATTGATTCCCGGTCGGGTCGTAGATTGATGTAGAAAACATAAATTGTCACGGGTCTGGGTATTATGATACATTCGTTGCCTTAAATACTTCTTAATAAGGGAGTTTTAGTTATTCATCTTGGAACCTAAGCAATGTATGTGGTGTTGTCTAGTATTTATATTAATGAACATTTGTAAATCACCCGAATATAAAATCTAGATATATGGAATGTCCACAGAATGCATAGCAGTGAATATAACCCGGATAGAAGTGCCTTCCCTTGTGGAACTGGGCACAAAGTCCGTCGTCCTGGACTGCGAGTTCAGCGTGGAAGCCGTGTCTCCAGGCGCTGGTCTCGTCATGAAGTGGTTCTTCAACGGCTCCGCCAATTTGGTTTACCAATGGATACCCCCATTAGCGCCGCAAGTCATAGGCCTCCTCAAGGGGAAGGTTGACCTAAACTTTAGAATATCTGGTAATTTAATTTTAATCACTTTACTTATTTAATTTACCGTAAGTAATTTAAAAAAAATGTTTAAGTGTCGTAAGCATTATCTTTGGAACTAATTTACTAGAGATATAATAAAGTTAATTACGTAGGAAAATTATGGTTAGACGTTATTTGGAATAGGTAATTAAAGTTAATAGTAAACTTGTACTTTATTCGCTGACAGATTTGTCTACTCTTTCCTTTCTATAAAAATGATAAAGTAAAGGAAGGAGATCCGCTTCCTTAATCCGTATATAATTTCCGTGTAGCTTTAAAGTCATAGTTCAAATATTTTGCAGAATAAAGGCACGCGATGCTTTTAGCTTGATACAGTATTTTGATGATAAACAGAGTGGTTATTTTTGCTGTTGTACACATTGGTAAAAATGGAATCAATATACCAAGAACGGCTTTGTTTTTAGAAGGAAAAAGGAAAACGAATGATGATTAATCGCAATTGCTGAAAATGTGTTTCTGAAAAAGTTTTCTTTTATAGTTTTTGGATATCGAGAGAGTATTATATATTTATCAGTATATTATACCTACTTGTTGTTAGTATATTGGTTTAATATTAGAATGCTTTCTGAGGATAAAAAATCAAAGTATTATACACAGTCGCTTCCCGCTGCCTGCACGCTGATGGATTTTAATGCGATTTTCGTTTATATACGTTATGATTCAAGAGGCAGATTCATATGTAAAATACGGAAATAGCTGGTAAATAAATTTTACATAGATTATTATAATTTTATGATGGGCCAAATATTTGTTACAGAGGAACCGCTACAAGCTTATAGAGCTATAAAGATATTAAAACCGACGACAGATCTAAGTGGTAACTACACATGTGTCGTTTCCACGTTTCTGAAAGAAGATCGGCAAACTAGAAGTATGCTTGTATACAGTAAGTCAAATTAAAAACTATATATTTTATAATAACACGGCGATTCGATACAAAGTAAACATGGAGCTTAAATTTATTATCTGTCAATTTAATGAAATATTTACTAAAGTGGCTTCAATAACTGAAAAGTTTTGGCGAAACCTGATATATTCTACCCGTTTCTTCTTTTTTTTCAAACATTCCCTAGATTATTTCCCTAAGAGTGCACGCACTAAGAAATAGCTACTGCTGTACTGAGTCACCGCCGCCAATCTCACGTTTTTGGCGTGAATATTTAAGTCGAATGATGTCCGTTTATTTAATTACATTTTTATTATTTATATTGAGTCTTGGTTTCTAAATGTGATATTTAGTGAGACAAAGTATTATGAAAGTGACCAATTATATTATGATACGGGTCGTGAACAGGAAAATATTCTGTGAATATAGCTTATAAGAGCGAAGGGCTACTTTTTCCTGTGGCCTTACATCTTTCAATTAGCTCAAAAGCTCCATAACATTATAACGTCAATCGCTACAAAGAAATATGATAAAAAATCAAGCTGTATTTTATGTATTAAGTATTTGACTCGTAGTGGCTTATGTTGATTACAATATTAGTTAATTGATTTCAACAATAAACCTGTAGAATCTATCCAAATAATAGTGTTCATAGCTGGTCATGTACATTTAATTCCTCCCCAAAGTTCTTTAGATCATTGTAACTTTAATACATTACCAACGGAAAAAGGATACTGGGAGTACCTAAAAATGAACTAAAAAGAACTGTCGTTTGTTTTCTTAAACACAAGTTAAAGAAACAACGGATTTATGTATGTTATTTATATTGTTTTTTTTTTTTTATAAAAATCGTTTTATCTTTTTGCCTATCCTGATTTTACCGATGTAAAATCAGGTTAGGTAAAAGCTTCATTTAATAATAAAATTCCATAAACTTTATTTTAATTTTGGTATTCAACCCATGATTGCACGAAGAGATAATACAGATGAAACGGGTAGAAATGATTGTATGGATCCTAGGAAATGCCAACTACTGCAAAAAATATTCTTAATCATCAATAACATATTTTTTTACTTATTTAAATGTTTAAAACGTGTGTAAAAAGGTTGAAAGTTGTACAGTGTATTGAAGTTAATTTTTAGTATCAGTACTAGTATGGTTAACTTTAACTAGTTTAAAAAACCTTTAGAAAAATAAAACTTAAAATATTTCTATTTAGAAATGGATTGTGTAGGTCTTAAACAGTTAATGCTACTGTGACACATGATGACTAACAATTAAGACAATTTTATGCACTTATGTGGGGCTCCCTCCTGCAGACCCACCCCAGAATGGAGCTAGTCAAAGAGCAGGGTATACCCACTAAAACCACATTCGAGGTAGGGACGTGCAATGCCCGACCAGCGCGCAAACCGGCCGAGCTGCCCCCACCAAAGACCGGGGATCATTTCGAACACCTACCAAAATAAATAAAAGGAATTGAAAAACTGTAAAATGAATAAAAATTCGTGTTATAGTTTTCCATAGTAGCATTAACTGCGCAAGGCCTACCCAAACGACTGGGTCTGGGTTTGATTTCTAAATTAAAGAACTAGTTTTTTTTAATGTATTTATGATGTTTTTTGTTCCAAAATCGATGACATATTTCCTAAGAAGGCTAACTGTGTTTCTCCGAAAAAATAAGTTAAGTCTTAAGTCGCTACTACCTTAGTATTTTTTTCGATAATTTATGATGCACCTGAGGTAGGACCAGGCACTGCTTCTGATGTACAAATAATTTTCATAGATATGATTTTAACAAAATAATAAGAAGATTTTGAAATTCTCCGAAATTTCGTTCATAGACAGTACGACCCTTAGACTTTTTTCAGACTTACCCATTGGTACTGACTGTTATTATACAGCCTGTATACTATTTAAACACTAAGTAAAAATAAAATATACCTAATTAAGTAGATTAATCAAAATTAAAATTTCTTCATTTTATTGACAAAAAACGTTTTTTAACAAAAGAGGTTGTCATCTGCACCGATTTTAATTATTCCGATAACATCCTACGTACTTGAATAAACAATTTTAGATTTCATCAACGATTCGTTATGTTTTAGGTGTCGGCAAGAGCTTTCACTTTTACCAAGAGAAAAAATATGTGTTTCTTGTTACTTTGATATGCATCGCAGAAGACCTATATCCGAAACCTGAGATTACAATACTGTCAAAAGGGTAAGATATTTCAACAATAGATATGATAACTAATTTTTGTTTTCCTGTTCTTGGCCAGATTTTTATATAATATTGAAACGTATTTTTTAAGTGTACATTTTCTACATAGTTGTAACTTAGCGAGCCCCCACTCCTCAACTTTCATATCTCTTATCTAAGTCACTTCTTTTTACATTTAAGCAAAAGAAATACGTATCTAATATCTATTATTATTATACTCTTATTCCATTCCAAATTTTATATAAAACAAGTTTATTTGTTATAAGGGTGAGCTTATCTCTATAAGAGATCTTTTCCAGCCAACCAAGGCATATTGGGAGAGTAAGATGTAAGCGGGTTATATAAGTATTACAGTTAAATTTAATATTTTTCATTATCTGATTGACGGACTAAATAGAATGTCTTTTTTTACCCAGTCACTATCCCTATTTTCATATGTAACATATACTATAACCTTGCTTTTATTCTATAGAGACGAAAATGAATGTTTTTTACTTCTAGGTTTATCTCGATTGTGAAATTATTTGAAATGAAAAATACTAACTAAACGTGGGAGGGTGTAATTATGTTGATCCCTCTCGAGATAGGTTTTAGTAATACAAGGTTGAGTATCAAATTTAGACTTGCTTATTGTTACGAAAAACCTGAGACTAATCAAATAATAAATACAGCGTGTTTCCATTATATATTGATAATTATAAAACCTGTTTAGTTAAATAAAGTAATAATTGTCAATTTACTCATAATCAACACCATCATCTTCACCGACCACTTGAAGTACCTACGATTGGGATAAAGATTCCTTCCTTATGGTAAAAGTATATGAAACAGATATTTATACCCTTAGCGTTATCTATAGAAATAGCTGTTTGAAGATTTTTTTCCAGATCATTCTTTCTAAATTAAGGTCTCATCTAAAAATATGATTCTCGCTATTACAGAAATAACAAGAGCGGGTTCGTTTGACGGTTTTCATTACGAAATTTTGTCGAAGCTACCATAAATAATACGTTACCCTATCTCTCCTCGGGAAATCTGCATAAATTGTCTTCCGTGAATTCGCCGTTGGAAATGTTATGATTATTATTAAGAATTTCAATTGTACTTCTCAAATTTTCTTGTAATTATTTGTTAAAACTTACGAAAAACCATTTCAATTTTAAAATACCTATAACTATAGGGAAGTGAAAGTGATATCAATGAAAACGATTACCTTAATTGAATTGTGTAACTAGATTCTTTGTATATATAATAAAATGGTTTTTACTTATCCCAAATTTATGTTCCACCTCAGTTCAAGTAGAATCCTGAACAAACATTAAGTAGCAATATCTAGCAGCATTTTGGCAAGAAACTGGAAGTAATTTAAAGAATTTCTTGAAAAATACTAGCACTATCGGCGCAATTTACTAGAAACTTGATTTATCTGATTGGCTCACAAAGAACAATTAATAAACTAACTTTCATGGTAACTGCAGCATTGGAATCAGCAATTTTGTATTCAGCTACCTTATTATCGTGTCAAGCACGTCTGCAACTAAATTTTATTGAATTCTCTAAAGAGAATTCATTAGCTTCTAACATCTATTTGATTTGTCTTTGCAGTAGATGTTACATTTTTTTTGTAAATTGCATTCCGACTTGTTTTTTAGCTCAGATGTTAAATCCAATAATATTAAATTTCTTAAATATATCGTTTTTATACCACCAAAAATAATGGATCAATTTCAAAACTTCAACTACGGGAGGATTTACGCAGGCGAAGTAGCAGGAAAAAAGCTACTTTTTATTATATTAATATCACGCTGCTAATTTTACCATGATTTATATGACATAATCATTTTCATGAAACCTATTACATATTTACGTTATATAAATTTTGCGTACCATCTTAACTTTCACATCAATTATAAATCAAATAAAAATACACATAAACCAAATAATGTTTTGCCAAGCCATGACTTAACGCTATAACGGATTAAAGAGTCCACTTCATAGAATACAAAAATATCTTTTCCAGCATCAAATATTCGTTTCTTTATAAAGTAAAATATTTTTAAATTTCTTTCAAGCGCACTTGACCTTTGTACAATTACTTGAAGGCGAAACATTTGTTCCAGAAAGCCTTTGAAGCAAGCCGTGACTGAAATTAGAATGGACTCCTGGGGTTTTTACACAGTGGAGAGTAAAGCGGTGGTGCACGATGACGACGTGAGCACCCCGTGGGAGGAGTTCATGTGCCTCTTGAATCTAACACCAGCTAACTACACGCTGAATAAGACTACTATATATTATCCTGGTAACCTTATCAATGTATATTGAACTACCTATCTATACTAATAATATAAAGAGGAATGAATGATTTTTGAGATGAGGCCGATAGTTTCGGAGGTTATTCAATGCGAATAATCGATCTTCTTTTAGGATTCCGTAGAACACAAGGAACCCTTATAGCTTTGCCAAGTCTGAGGTTTAGCTCAAAAACTATTGGTACTAGGATGTAGTGATTTGATTACGCCGACAATGTGCTAAAGTAAAATTTCTTAATAATTTTTTTAGGTATTTTTGCTGTACATCTAATTTTCGCCTTCTCCTTAGTGTGGGACGTCGTTGGATAGGTCTTTCAAAAATATTGAAGCTGTGTGAAAGCCGTTTTTCGATTCAGTAAACCGTTTGTGACTTATTAAGCTTTAAAAGTTAATTTTCGTTAGAGTTGAGTGACGCCCCCTTTACCAAATAAACGGTCGTTCGTAAAAATTCAACCGCAACGTTTGAATTTCATCTATATATAACGAATTTAAAAGGAAAACTATCACATTTAATTTGACTTTAGAAGTTTACGAGTCGAAGTCGATTACGAGTTAATTCGATAATTTCGAACGACTCCATAAAAATTACAACAGATTCTTTTAACTGCTTTTTAGGATAATGGTACGGAACCCTTCGTGCGCGAACTCGCACTTGACCGGTTTTTTATTATAGGTATATCCCACTATGGTATATCCATCCATCGTCTAGTTCAATTGATTCCAGTAAATAAATCTTTATAACAACAATAGGAATGTTACATTGATTTCATGATATCTACTCGGGAATGGTATTTTTATTTGTATCGTCTTGGAAGGACATACTATAATAGGTTTTTATACCAACAACTTTTGTTTGTTGTGTTTTATTTCAATATTCTTGACAAATACATAATAGAAAATTCGAATAAAATTCGAAAGATAAAACTTTTGTATTGAACAAAAGTTAATTGCGAAATTCCCTTTTAAGTTGTTTGTAATTCGGTAACAAAAAGTTACTCAAGTCCTAAAAAGATTTCATTTTTAAGAGAAGTACGGCGTCACTGATTATCCGCACGAATTAGAGAGCATTTCTGAGAAATGCAGCCACGTAACCTTATTCTATTGTGTAGTTCCTTGTGATCGAGAAGGGGTAAGAAAATGCGTCAGGGCTGTCAAAATGCAATAACAGTACTGATAATAATCATACCGGTGATCATATGGCTCCTTCTTAGTCATTATCGTCCTTCTGATGATCTACGTCAGGTGTCGGCGTCTATTTAGATATAAAGTTGCGGCTCTCCAAGTCTTCATTATTATAGAAAAAATGTTATTATTATTATTTTACTGAGTCCCTCGGATAGGTGCCGAGGTTCGCGATCGTTGTCGTTAAGCAACTAATGCCTTCCAATCCGCATTGAGCCAGCGTGGAGGGTCATTGCTTATTCTTCTTGACCATCCATAAGAAAGACCTGAGCGTCTGCAGTGGGGTGTAAAAGGGCTAATGATGATGATTATTTTACTGTCGAAACCCTACTTATTATGTAGTCGATCTATAGTTTAGTATCCATAGTATAATATGACTGAGATATGCTGACTATAACTGAAAGACGGATATTCGAAGTTCTTTATTTAAAATAAAATTACTTATAATGTCAATAATATCGAAGGTTGCTAAGCCCTGATCTATATTTTTTTGTCTCATTTAATGGTAAAATCTAAAGGTAAAATAAAAAATACTACAAGATAACCTAATGTAGTATATTTACGGTAGATTCAAACCTCATGTTTTCATTAGACCATTTAAAAACAAACGAGATGAAAATGGTATATTCCAACTAGAAATAATTCATTAAAGAAAAGACAATTTATTTACACGCTATAAAGTCTCAACAGTATATTGATAATCGAAACTGAATATTAATGGATATTCACATTTAATTCAGTAAAGCTTTGCCTCTGGTTGTTTTAATTTACTTATCTCCGCAGGTTTAATGCCAACCGCTTACATTGCTGCTATTGAAGTGGAGAAGCCACAAGAGCGGCACGCGAATGCAAATAGTAAGTAAACACGACATGCCATAGAGTATTGATTCGAGCGAAGAGTGACTGCAACTATCGTGTCGTATATGTTATATATATGTATTGTCATGTATTGTTAGCAAGTTAAACAGAAGACTCAGTTTTGCTCACTGGCCATTTTGGCCATTTGGCACTTCAAGGCGTTTTTACTAACGCATATATAATTTACCGTGAAAGGTTTTTTAAAAATTGTATTGTGACAAAACTAACCAAAACTATGACGTGTCAAAATTTCCAATTTCTCTCAATTCCTAAAATGTCCAAATCCAAGTCATAATCTTAAAATGGCCTAAACCCTATCCGCTTTACCTGACTTCCTAGTGTGACAGCGACATGGGAGGACTTTATATCATCAAGGAGGAGCACAGACGACCCTAAGCCAAAAGACAAATCTTTACAAACTACTTTGGATTCCTTATCGTAGACTATTCTTTTACATACATCCCATATACCTTTAAATATTATTCCAAAATTATCTGTTCGATATCACATAACTTTCCATCAAAGTAAGCGTTGAGATACTTTAAAAGTGATACCAAGCAGAATTACCCGTCTCATATTTTTTTTATACAAGGAAACTTAATCGAGTCAAAAATATCATATTCCTTAATAAATAAATCACTAAGTTTCGGCAAACGAGATACTCATTTTAACTTTTTTCTCAAATTCAATTTATAATTGAATTATGTGACTTTCTTATTCGTAGTGGTCACATATGGCTTTTTTTTACAAAAAGTTTAAAAACTATAAATATTCGCACATCTTTGTGCCTCTCTGTCTTAGTTTGGCAGGACACAGATCCGATTCCTGTTTTGAACTAATCTTTCCAACGCTGTTATTTTTTACAATTTTCAGAATATCAATACAACATTACTCCGCTATATAACTATGCAGTTTCGTGGATTGTATAACTTAACTTAATTAAGTTCTAAGCACGTAGGCTGTAGCCTACGCGAGGTGATAAACCCTCCGCTGAGTTAATATTTAAGAAGATACTCAGAACTCCACCTTCACCTTTCTATAGTGTGCCTACTTGCATTTTAAAAGTTAAATTAAAATCATATCAAATTGTTATGCGTTTGGTTTTATTTTTATCAATAAAAATATTAAGTAAGACGTATTTTATAACCGCTACAATTAATTAAGACTTCGTTAATTAACATATTAACATCATTCTTTTTTTTTTTCAGATTCCGCAAAATGTGCGTCGTTTGTAATGAGTGTCGTATATTATATGTTTATTACTAGAATCACTAATTTCATAGAATTTACATAGATTATTATAAAATTAAATTTAGATATAAAATGTAACAATTGTGTAACAAATAATTAATCTAATAAATCCAAGTCCAGGCATGTTATGTCATTGTATATAAATTAAAAGTAACGAAATTATTTGAGAAATCAATTCAGCTTATAGAACCACATATATTAAAATTATAGAATTTTATCCGAGCAAATTGGTGATTTGGGAATAAGTTGCAAACAAATCGAGAAGCTAAATAGTTATCTTATCATCTACTTTATAAAAAACTGGAATTAAATTCAATAAATATGTTATAATTTATTTTACTAATTTAATTTCTTTGTTTCTTAACTATAATGTTATATGACAATAGGTGAGTCAAATGAAAACATAAAAACTAAAGAGAGCTTAATGTATTTGCTAAAAACTGATTTGGCGTGCGTAACTTTATGTAACTTTAATATGATATGCTATGTTGTTTTCAATGTGATGAAAGGACATTATACATTTAAACTCCGTGACATACATTTGTAAACATTACATGTCCATGTCAATATAATAACTCAACTCGACTTCAAAAGGCGGGTGGTATAAATTAAGATAAAATTATTTGCAAACATTATAGTAAGAATGTTGGAATGTATTCTTATGTCTTCTTAAATTTTATCATAAATTGTTTAAATATTTATGAAATTTGTCACTTTATGATATTTCTGTACGTTATCATTTGTTAAGCGTATGCTTGTTTAGTGTTAATTCAAATAATTAGAGTAACATGGTTTCTGGAATCAGAGATTATTTGCTTTATCACAAATGGCTGAACGAAACTCAAAAAGGGCTGCGATCACTGGCGACACACAATATTAATGCGAAGAATTGTATTTTAACTTATTAAAATGACAATAAAATTTAAGTTCCAGTGATATTCGTGTTAAATAAAAACAAGGCTGAGAAATGATAATGCAGCTTTAGGAACCGTTTTGGAGATTAAGGAATGCCTCAAAAATCTCAATATCTACGCCACTAATCGTACTACAAACATGGTCCATCTCTATGGTTATAAATTTATCATCGCTCATAATGAAATGTGAACTTTCATGTAGGTATAAATGAGCAAAATGTAAGCTTAAATCCAAAATGATGATTATTCGTTTTGTTTATGAAAACATGATTGAATAACGAATGATCTCCATGTTTCATGTGGTGCCAGCGACAGCAAGCCCTTATACAACCAACACTTTGGATATTTTTAGTGCTATAAAAAGTTTCTAGAAGATTCTATTGATATGTCAAATCTACTATTTATATTAATACAAAGTCAATGGCATCAGTTATACAATATGCAAATAGGTACATTATGATGAAAAAAGCTATAGTTATATCTAACCCGTTCCACGCCGCTGCCTGTTGTGTAACGCGGTCTCGGTTTTTATATAGGTTAGTATGGGGCTTATTATATTAGCTCCGTCCCGCGTGTCGTTGAAATGTGTTTCACCGTCTGTGACAACACGTGACATGGGCTAGATATAACCTTAGCTCAAATCCCCAATCACACACACCCGCTAGTACCTAACATAATTAGAAGTACGAATAGTGATCATGAACCTTTAAAAATGCATAACATTATAAGCCTATTAATAAGCAAATTGACTGTTAGAATAAGTTGAAATGACGTAATCAAGCTTTTGATGTATGATCATGAATATCTATCAATGATAATAAATTTTCTTACATATTTATGTACAAATTATTTTTATTTTGTAACCACAAAATAGTTTTCCACGACTTAGGAATAAAGTAGTTGTAAAATTTTCTGATATAAATTAAATGTCATGTAAACTATTGGCAACGTGTTTCTGAAATATATGGAGGATCTCAATTTAATAAAATTTGACGAAAGCTGCTTAAGAGTGCGTCAAACTAAAAATCACTAGCTTTCGGAAAGCACATTAAGCTGTTGATCACGCTACACATGACGGTTATTTGGTATTTAATTTGATAATTCGATTAATCGATCTTTATGTTATGGCAAAAATCATTCATCAACCTCTGGGTACGGGTTATATAACCCGTATATCATAACTAGGGACGTGTTTATATAGGTACTATTTGTTTAGAAAAAAAAAACATGAATATGATTTACCGGGTCCGTAATAAACATAATAATAAATGTTGTCTAATAATTAGAAACTTTTCCTCGTAAATATTTTGAAAACTCATCGCAAGAGCATTTAAAGTTTGTTTCCAATTTATCACGCAACTTTCCTTATTCCTTTTCCTGTAAAACCTTTTCAAACTACAAGCATTAAAAATATAATTATCTAAATCGGTCCAGCGTGAATCTGTCCAACCTCTGGTGATTTAGATAAGTACAGTGAAGTTCAAAGATATATATACACCACAAGTTGCTACAAAATGTAATCAAAAATAAGCATACAATAATTTGACCATTACTTGGTAAAAATTAATGTGTTTACCGAGTAATGATGAAATAAGTTGGAGACAGCCACATAATATAAACATATTTATGATTATAGGTATTATGTGGTAGTCTCCAAATCCCAGATGACAATCAAAAATTAAAGAAATGGGTAATCGGATGGGTGGCCAAATTATTTTTGGCATAGTGATTTAGGACGATGGCGCGGGCCTACTGATAAGTATACCGCCGGCCCAGTGGCCCGCGTATGTGGGTACCATCCATTAAGCATACCTGTGCTTTAGTACCATCAATCCGCATTGGAATCTATATGCGGGACCAGTTTTTTATACTCTGTAATGTAACCTAACACCTCGCGTTAGTTTCACTTCTTTATCTTAATTAGCTTTAGAGATATATCACATTCAGTAATAGTCAAGCATACGGATATTTTGCTCTCTATCTCAAGGTCAAAGCGGAAGTCGGTCGCGAAAAGTACATAAATCGTGTTTGAACATCCAGTCGATATTAAAACATAAGTTTCGATATCGATTCCCATTTGGGGGCCGACTCGTCATACGTATCCGGCTAAACCCTTTGTGTTTTCGAATGCTCATATAATAATGCCAATGGACTACACATCTATGTTGTATATTGTGTACATATTTATATGCATTTAGAGGAATACAATTTTATAATCTTCACATGAGTACATATAATAGGTCTTTACCTATGAAATTGCCGTTTTGCTGTACTGACCATTACAAAACAAAATATTTTTTTTTGGCTGATAATTCTGATTTCCAATTAATTTTATTTTAAAAAGGTGGTATTCTTTTTTCTAAAAACGTCATTTGTTTAATAGTTAGTGTTTTGTTTTCAAAGCATTCTATAATTTTTAAAGTAAGTAAAAACTTCGAGTAATTATGGAGTATAAGTACCGTCGTGGCAGCAAAGCGGCACAAGCGGCAAACAACATCAACGACGTTTACGGAGTGAACACTAAAAACGAACGCACCACCCGTTATTGGTTTGACCGCTTCCGTTCTGGAAATTTTGACCTGAATAATGAACCCCGCGCTCATCCGAAAACTTTGGTCGACAATGACGAATTAAAGGCGGTTGTGAAAGCTGATGAAACTCAATCTACGGCTGAATTAGCAGCAGCTTAGCATCAAAACAATATTGTTCCATTTGCGTCAAATTAGCAAGGTACCCCACGAACTCAATGATCGCCAGCACGAAGTATATAGGCATACAAAAGAAGGAATTCTGAACCACATTGTTACTTGTGACGAGAATGGATTCTGTTCGATAATCGT